CCTTGGCGTTAAGGAAACGCGACGAACGAGCAAGTTCCGATTCCGCTTGGTTTTCCCACTCCCATGAAATGCTTTTCTTTCCTCAAAACCTCCTTTCCAAGCAACATTTCCCACCCAGTATCTCCTGGTGAGTCCAGACCACGGGCACAACCCCAGCTAAGCCTCTCCTGGCCTCGGATCTGGGATTTCACCGTTGTGCAAAGCGGCCGGCGCTGAAGGAGAGCAGCTCTGCTATTCCAGGAGCTGTGACCGGAGCACCCGCCCCGACACGCCTGGGAACCGGGCAGTGACACGCGGCGAGGCCAGCCCCAGGCTGGCACTGGGAAGACTGATGGAGCTTTCCCTGGCCCCACAACAACCGCAGCCCCATGACGGCTGGTGTGTCCTTGACGCTCACCCCCAGCACACACCGGTGCGAGGACTTACCGGCTCCTGGAGAAACGCGGCTTCACAGGTGGCTGGTGGCCGGAGCTGGGTGCAGGGAGGTTCCGCTGCCTCTTGGGACTGGAGAGCTGCTCCACAAACCACTGGGTCACCCAGCAGCATGGTAGCAATGAAACAAAGCTAAAGCCAACAGCTCTGAGTTACCAAAACACATCTGGAGGTGCCGCAGGTGGCTATGGCAGGGGGCTGTTTGTTTATCCTGAAAGGGAAACTGAATTTCCCTTCAGCATCCTCCTGCTTTGATCTCCAGAGCTCTGGTTCCCTCTGACCACTGGTTTCGCAGAGCAGCCCCAAGCCCTGTAACCACAGCCTGGTTCTCCTGGGACCTGGAGAAGCCCCTTGGCAGCCACAGCACCAGTTTGCTCGCCTGGCCAGGCTTGTGCTGACACATTTGGGGCAGGCTGGCCCAGGCTGCTATAGAGGTCTCCTTCCTCCACAGCAGAAGTTCCCATCTGCCTATTGCCAAGGTGCTTCAGACTGGCTGTGCTCTTTATCTCCTCTGCTTGCTCTTGATCTGCTACACCTGGGCATGGTGCTTCTCCTTAGTCTTTTGGTCTTTCCTGTTAAAGAGCTCAACAGCTGGGAGGCTATATACGCTATGTTGGGGCCAAAAGCCTGGCTTAGCTCCAGAAAAAGATACCAGTACAGTGAAGATGGAGGAGGAGCGAGGCTACTGGGATCTGATCCTTGAGACAAGATGCAGCAGATCCCAGGAACTCGCAGCCCATGTTGAACTGCAGGGATGCTCTCCCATCCCACTGGGATGCACTACAGGGAGCAAAGCTGCTGTGGATAGGAAAGCTCTGAGCTGTGGAGACTGTCACCAGAGCAGTCTGGGCTGAGGGCAGAGACGTGACATGGGCCACACAGTTCTGGAGAGCACCCCGAGAGTCTGTGAGTCCTGCGGGAAGCCAGGCAGGCTCTCGTGGGAAGTGCGGGAGCAGGACACACAGAGCAGAGGCGAGCTGTGGTAGGGGGTTAGCACAAAAAGCATCCCGCCAAGTAAATAGATGCGTCTGCCTCTGATTTGCATGTTTATCTTAGAAGCAATTTAGGTTTCTCCTTGTTTACAAGAGCCGAAGTCAGCAGACTCTTAGAACAAGAACAACAACTGGGAGCCAGCATGTGACAGTTGTCTCCTGTTCCCAGCGCGCCGGCGCTCGCGGCTGTTGGGAAAGAGCTGGATGTGTCCGCGCAGGGAGCTCCTCGCCGAGAGGGGAGAGGGAGCAGGAGCCAGGGCTGCTTTCCCTCCTTACCTGGCAGGCTCAGAACCCACTGGCCTTTGTAGGGTGAAGTCTCCGGGCTCTGCTGTGCCGGCTGCTCCGCGCAGGGACGGTGCCGGTCCGGTGCCAGCGTGGGAGCACGGCGTGTCCTGCGGCACCACGGCTCACACCCGCTGAACTCCAGGAGCAAATGGGAAACAGGGCGAGTTTGTGATCGAGCGTGGATTTGCAAGAAGTAAATGATGCAGCATCGTGCAGCCCGCGGGGGCCCAAGGGGGAAAGGGCTCTGTCAGTGACACAGACACTGTGCAAGGACCTCACAGGAAACAGCACCCCAGGACCCCCATTTGGGGAAGGGGGGGATTGTTATCCCCACATGCACTTAGTTTATTAACTCCCTGGCAGCTCCTCCTGGCTGCAGGACACCCGGCTCTCGCGCTCTGCTCCTGCCTCGCTCCTCCTCTCCATGCAGAAGCCCAGGCCCCAGCAGCCTCCAGCATCAGGAGCAGTTCCCTCTCATGGGCTTTTCTGAACTCAGGGTTTGGGGTTGGTTTTTTTTCTGCTATAAAAATGCAGATTCCCCAAGAGTACAGCATTTCACAGAAGTTTGCCACTTCCAGCACAACTTCATTTTTTAAAAATGAAGTTCTGATAAGGCAGCTGGGGACTTCTCAGGATGTCCATTGTCTTCCTATTTCAGTGTTTTTAAAATGTCACAGATTTTTAGAAATAAAATTGGAAGGGATGCTTTAATCAATCCAAAACAAACGTTTGATTCTTTTCCTTCCCAAAATTCTGCTTGGCAGAATTTTCTGATGTTCCTCATCTTGCTCCATTTCAGAGGAACTGAACCCAAGTGGAGCATTTCTCACGCAATGGAAGCGCTCACTCTCAGAGATAACTGCAGCCTTTCCGAGACACGTGAGGAATCTTCCCCCTTGTTGTGCCAGTGCCAGTTCCCAACACCCTGACAACCCTGGGGCAGGTTTTGGTACATAACCTGCAGTGGAGACCTGTAGGTGCTGCAGTAAACACGCTGCTGCCTGGCAGCCACTTTTGGGAGATGCAGCCGCCGAGCCCAGCACGGTGCTCCCTGGGCAGTCGCTGCCCTTCGCCCTGCTCTCCTTCCACTTTCTCCTGCTGATAACGTTTGCTCCGATCTGGGTATTTAGCAGGAAAATTAATGAGAAGTAATTAGCAATCAGTGTGAAAAAGGGAGTGCCTGGTGTTTGTCTTGTTTGGAGGGTTTTCCTTGATCTCAGTCTCCAGGGGATGGTGGCTGTCAGTGACCCATCTGCCAGCTCTCCTGTCTTATCCTCACCACAGACCAGTGCCACAGCTCAGCAGCGCTGGAGGGGGACAGGGTCCCTGCAAGGTCCCTGGTGAGGTGGCCCATCAAACAGCATTTTACCTTTTCCAGCTTTCCCAGCATTTCTTTCCTCCAAT